ATATAGTTACTGGTTTCAAGTCTGGCTGAGGATGGCAGGGTGCATTATCCTGCTGAAATAGGCCTTTGCCATCAGGAAACATCATTGCCATGAAGAGGTGTACGTGGACTGCAACAATCTCACAAGTAAGTGGTATGTACAAAGTAACATTCACATAAATGCCAAGGTTTCCCAGCAGAACATCTCCCAGAGCATAACACCGCCTCCACCGGCCTGCCTTTTTTCCATAGTGCATTCTGCTGCCATCTCTTCCCCATGTAAAAGATGCACAAGCAACCGTCCACCCACCCGACCTAATAGAAAACATGATTCATCTGACCAGGCAACCTTTGCCTATTGCTCCTTGGTCTAGTTCAGATGCTCACATCCCTATTGAAGGTGATTTCAGTGGTGGACAGAGGTCATCATGGGCACTCTCACTGGTTTGCGTCTATGAAGTCCTATATGCAGCAAACTGTGATGCACTGTGTGATCTGACACCTTGCTATCATGGTCAGCATAAAGTTTTTCATCAATTTGAGCTAAAGTAACGCTACTGTGTGATCTACTGTGTGATCAGACCAGACGGAAATTCCATTTGAACCAAATACCGAACACACACTCTGGCTGATTGGTGGCTCATTGCCTTGTGCACCCACAACCCTGATGCTGGTTCATCAGTTGTCCTTCCCTGCACCACTTTTGGCAGGTACTGAGCACTGCATACCGAGTTGCCGTTTTGAAGATGCTCTGACCCAGTTGTCTGGCCATAACTGTTTGGCCTTTTTCAAAGTCACTCAGATCTTTTTGCTTGTCCATTTTACCTGGTTTCAACACATGAAATTCAAGAACTGACTGTTCTCTTGCTGCCTAATATATTCAGTGCCATTGTAAATATATAATCAATGTAATTCCCTTCACCTGTCAGTGGGTTTTAATATTATTTATTTATATATAGCACTATTCGTTTAATACTTCTATATCAATGTTAATTTACTTGATCTGTAACCAAACAATGAGTTTAAAAGCTCTCACTCCTGGTCCAATTAATTAGAAAACATACCCAACACATAAAGGCCTACTACAAGCATCATGAAGCCAGGAGTACCCTGTCCGAGTTTCCCAGTAATGGGCAACAGTTTGCCCTCTTTCCTGGGTCCCAGCTGAGTTCCAAGGCGCTTTCCTTTATGGCTTATATAGAGTTGCAGAAACTGATCCAGTCGCCAATGAATGGCTGAGAGTGTCAGCTGACAATTCTCACACAATGAATGGCAAACTATGCAAAAATAGCGATAGCCTGCACATACAGACTCCCGGCACTATGACCACTTTATATCACTGAAGAGGTTGTAGTAAAACCTTAAAAGGAATGTGTTACTATTTTCTATTAATATTTAACAAGTTATCATGTATTACAGCATCCATAGGTACATGTAATTCCTCTTTAGTCAGCAGCAGAGCTTATCGGGCATAAGACCACAGAGGTAATTAAGAGGGAGTGCACATTCATAAATTCTGGTATTGTGTTTAAGTGCTGGGCTTCACAAAAATGTAGTGTAAGGAGGTTTAAACTGTTTGAATTATACATGTTCTTAGAGGCGTATCTTCTGATCAAATGGGACTAAAATATGGCTGCCCCCATGGGGCATTGCTAAGCCAGGATATACACTAAAAAGAGGTTTTAAATTATATGTTTGCATTAAAAATAATTTAAAAAAAGTTATGTCTGCAATATTTTATCTCCTTTAATAACAATAAACGATAGAAGCGGTTTCCCTTTAATTCAGTGCAAGGTTTCTTTATTTGAAGACCTCTTTTTCATTATTCATTTTTCTTTTACTTTTTTTTTCCTTGTTAAATGAAAGAAAATCTCAGTAACTCCTGGTAGGGATTACTCCATGCTTCCCATAAAAATTACGTTTTTGTGATTCACAACCCTTTTGATTACGGAACGCAGAGTCTAACAAGCAGTTTGTCTTTAGATTCCACATGACAGATAGAAAAGCCTGTAACAGGATAAAGTGAAGGATAACATATCAATCTAACGATCTCTTGGAAGTTGGACTGATCATATCATTTTCTACATAAGCCTATGTGACTCATTCACCTTTTTGATTACTAGGTGCTCATCAGTTCTGACCTCTTTATCACTCCATGTGTTGCAGTCAACATAATCCACATAAGTAGATGCTTTAGCTTAATAAAACTAGATTCTTGTAGAATGGTATTACAATGGCTATATATTGGCGGATACTGACATTCTGCATAGATCAAGTATTGTTACCTAACCGAGAAGGTTATTTAGCAAACAGCAAAAGCAATGTTTTCTATCATGTAGAACTGCAAACTACGTGTTTTGCAGCACATATAAGATTTTAATGCTGTAAATTTAAGGTATTTGATATAAAAGTGATTTTTGAAACAACATATTTAAGGCTGGGCCTGTAGTTGTGGAAGGGGCTTGGGTCCCCTTTATAAGGGCATCCAATCCTCTCCCACTTTACCGTGGTTGGCTGGGCAAGTTACACTTATCTGCTGTCACTTCGCAGTGGTCCTGCTGCTGCTGCCGGGAGCCTGCCGGTTCCATGGGGTCCTCTCTGCACGCCTTCGGGTCCTGTGGCTCGGGTCCCTTCCGTCTCGCCGGGTTGCCACATTTGTTTTCCGCCCCCCTCCCCTACGCTTTGCGTTGCCAGTGGTACCCGGGCTCCTGGCACTATGGCCTGTCCTTGTTCCGGTGCCTGCCTGTGGGGGGGATCCTGCCTGGTGGTAGGACCACGCTGTTCTTTGGTCCTGTGGCTCGGATCCCTTTCATCTCGCCAGGTTCCCACGTTTGTTTCAGCCCCCACGCTCTGCATTACTGGTGGTAACTGGGCTCCTGGCAGTGTGGCCTGTCCTTACTCCGGTGTCTGTCTGTGGGGGGATCCTTCCTGGTGGTAGGACCATGCTGTTTTTGGGGGTGGCGGGACCCTCTCGAGCTCCCCATCTCCCGTCTCTGTCTCTGTCCTTCCCTCCCCTTGGGTTGCCCTCCGCGACCGCTCCCCCCTTCTCTGGTGGGGCATTTGCTCCATCTCTGTCGCTCCGCAACTGCACCCCCCTGCAACTGCATTTGCTGGTCTGGTTCAGGCTGCTGGTTGGATGCTTTGCTTAGCTTCCATACTGCATCTCTTAGTACAGACACCCTACCTCTCACTGCCCGGTTTGTCTCTGTGGGGAGTGTGTGGGAGGTACAGGGGGCTTTGGCTTGGGGGGTTCCTGTGCTGTCGGGCGGGTCATTTTTCTTTTTTTTTAACGGGGCGGGGGTTTGGGGCGTGTGTTGCGGACTGTTCAGTTTTTTTCCCGGCCTTTCACGGCATGCGGGCTGTACTGCTCCCTCCGCGACCGCTCCCACGTTCTCTGGTGGGGCATTTGCTGGTCTGGTTCAGGCTGCTGGCTGGATGCTGTGCTTAGCTTCCATACTGCGTCTCTTGGTACAGACACCTCAACTCTCACTGCCCGGTTTGTCTCTGTGGGGAGTGTGTGGGGGGGGCAGGGGGCTTGGCTTGGTGGGTTCCTGTGCTGTTGGGTGGGTCTTTTTTCTTTTTTTTAATGTGGGTGGGAGGTAGGGGCGTGTGTTGCTGGCTGTTCGGTTGTTTTCCCGGCCTTTCACAGGCATGCGGGCTGTACTGCTCCCATGTTTTATTGCTGTTTGTGCCGTGTTCGGCGCTTTCATAGCGACTCTTTCCGAGTGGGCTTGGATTGCAGAGTTGGGCGGTTGTTTATCTCTGTTTTTTTCATTGTTGGGTTTCTGCGGTTTCTCGCTTGCTGTGCTCTTGGTTGGTTTTGTTGTATCTGGGTATGCTTTGAGTGGGTGTTTGGCTGTGGTGTTTCTGCTTTGTGTTTTGCTCTCATGTTCTCCTCTTACCATTAGTCTGGTTTTCCCCTTGCCCTGTTCACGTTTCATGTGTTTTTTTGCGTTTTGGGTCACTCGGTTGTGCCTTAGTGATGGTCGCTGGTTCTGTGCTCTGGTTGCTGGGTCTCTGTTCCCTCTCTGGCATCGCCTGCTGGTTCTTGTTCGTTAGTCATTTCCCGGTTGGTTGCTATTTTGTGGTTTTCCTCTTTTGGCCATAATCCTATACCCTCCTCGGTTTCCCTCCTCTATTGTTCAGGCTCAGGTAGTTTCTCTGTGTGGCACGCTTTGTCCAACCGTGGTCCTGCCGAGAAGCTCATCCTTCCTGGCTGCATTTGCCTTTCTTGCCTTGTGTCCACCAGGGGGGTAGATAATTGTCACTTATTCCGGTCCGCGATTTCGTCCACGCTGTTGCATATGTGCAGGGTCCACGATCTGGCCCACGCTGAGGTCCCCTATTATCAGATAGTACTTGTTGTTAGGGATCTAGGTGCCCACTACGATAGGTTTCTGGCCTCTATGCCATAGTCTAGTGGTCCCGTGAGGCCAACACCAATCCTCATATTAGGAGGTACCCCTCATACTCGGAGGACTACGCCATCGGCCCACCGCATAGTTATTCGCCTCCCATTGTTGCATAGGGAGGGCCTCACCTGTCACTCCCATTCTATCTTTTTTTTTTTCAGTCCTTCTTTATTTAATTGTTTTCTGAAAAAATCCTGTTACAATGTTACAGAACTAAATTGAAATACATTTAATACCCCACTCATTACATTTTGACCAAAAAAATAAAGTAGCAGGACAAACTTTTTAAAACTAAAATCTGTATAAGCAGGTTTTAACAGCTGGAGGAAAACCATAACAATTTAAAAATTGTCATTTTGTTAAAAAAAAAACAAAAGAAAAAAAACATTGAGTGGTCGAGTGGATGAGGGAAAGCACAAGGGAATTGGAAAGTTTGCAAACTAGTTAAAACCTAAGAAAGAAAAAAAAAAGGTTTGCAGGGCTATGCAGACTGACTGCACAGGAAAGTGATGTTGGAAGATGTTTAACTGCTTCCCATGCCACCAGCTTCTGAGGAAAGCCTGACATTGATAAGGTATTGGGCCAAGCTGATGACAGTGATAGTCACTTGTCAATCAGTGCAACCTTCCACAGGATTAGCAATCTGTGCCCTAGACATCTGACGAATCTCATTTATTTTAGCTCCTTGACATCCAATGATACAACCGATCAAATCATTTGGAATGGTGAGTTCGTGAGAAGTGGTTTGAGCCGATGCATCAATGCCTCCACTGAATCCGTTGTTGCCACTGTGACACATAGGAAAGTGAGACTGTTGCATTGCCAGCTGGTGCAACTTGGTCAGATCAGGCTGAGGAATGGCATACTGTCCTTGAATGGTGTAGGCCCCATGGGGATCCACAGCATCTAGGGAGACCCCCCCCCCTGTGTGGGACCTTAGCCCCTCCCACAGGTCAGTCTCACATACGTGCCCTCCGGGCTGGCGTAAAACCTGACCACCTGCGAAAATAACCGGAGAGCTGGAAGGCTTAGGTCGATATGGGATGGTCCAAAACTCCTTTTGGATAAGACACCAGCATGATGACGCATATCTGCTTGACACATTCAATGATGGACTGAGGAATGCCAGCTATAGTGATTGCACGCTCAGTTAAGTTGGGAAGCATATCTCCAGCCACTTGGACCTGAACCCCTGTGCTCTCTCTAATCTCTTTAATTTTACAACCACCTTTCCCAATTAGGGAGCCACACTGACAAGCAGGAAACACAAGACGCAGCTTCACAGGTGGTTTGCTGGATGTAGTACTATTTGTCATAGAGCTGCTAATATCTTCTTCCAGTTTTTCAATGATCATAGAGAATGCTTTAAAGATGGCATTTGTAGGTCCCGCAAGAGTGATAATTCGTTCAGGGCAATTACCTTCTGAGATGTTTATCCGGGCCCCACTCTCCTCATGCATCTTTTTCACAGATTCTCCTTTCTTTCCAATTATACTTCCAACCTCCTTGCCATGCATGAGCAGCCTGATTATCAACGTAACATTTAATCCTCCTTCAATAACACCAGTGTCCATGGTGAGAAGAGTTCTTGCAGGTCAAGGTAATACGCAGAAGATGTACAAAGTAGTCAGATCTTTAAGTTACAAAGGACGACAGAAGACCGCTGTGAGGAGCGAGGGTGGGAAAACATAGAGTGAGCGGGGAGAGAGAGACGGGGAAGGGAGGAGGAGAAGGGGGGAGGAAAAACAAGGGAGGAATGGGGAGGAAGGAGCGATCTGGAGGTGAGAGGCCCCGGGGAGGGAGGGAAGGAGAGAGCCGGGCGGGCGAGGAATCACTCCCATTCTATCTTATGCTTTAGTGGTCACAGAGAGGCCATCACCCTGCCACATGCGTCTCGGTGGCCTCTACCTCCCCTCGGGCCAACGCATAGATAGAGTCTCTCAAGCCACTTGACAACTAACTGGGCCTCACCCATCACCCTCATTAGTTAAATTCTTCACCACTTTGCAATAGCTAGCCTGCCGGTATGTTGTTATAAGGATCATACTAATGGTGGCTTTGTATAAATCGTATACCTCAAGTTCCCAAGTCACTGGGGGACTGTCTCTACCCAACACCTCTGCAAGGTCTGGTGTCAGGCATATTGTTACTTCTCCAAGTTATTGTAGAGTTATTGTAGGATGAATATATTAGTATGGTACACTTCTTTTTGCTCTATTTATTACAGGCCTACTGCATCGTCGGTTCCGGCACACCACAACTGACCGGTTCTATTGACTAAGATGTTTATTGATAATTATGTGTTATCTTACCATTACAGCAATATTGGTCTGACCACAAATTTAAGGATGGGCCTGTAGTTATGGGAGGGGCTTGGAACCCCTTTATAAGGGCATCCAATCCTCTCCACACTTTACCGTGGTTGGCCGGGCGAGTTATCCTTCCCATCACTCCCTTTATTCACATCACCCTCTAAGGTGGGCCCTCTTTTTTACAGTCCTACTGCATCATCGGTTCCGGCACACCACAACTGACTATTGACTGAGATGTTTATTGCCAATTATGTGTTATCTGACCATTACCACAATATTGACCAAAGAACCAAAAAATAGGCATTTGTACTTAAAACTGTTGAAGTTGAAGGAATTATATAAAGCATACACACATTGGACGATGATATTCTTTTGTTTCTTTAATTGTTTTCAGAGTTTTTTCAATGTTTTAATAGATGTCTGTTTCAGTGAGCAAATATGATTATATATTATTAGCCCCAGTCAAAGTATTTATGCTTACCCCCTAATTTTTAGTAAAACCCACATAGCATAATAACCTAATACACCATAGGATGGGGTTTCTGAGGCTCCCTTTGTTAAAAACAGCTTGTTTGATAGGTCACTTTATTTATCTCAGCACTTCTGTACATTTATTGCTGACCCTCCCCCATCATTGTGTGCCTGATATCCTTGCAGCTGCATAACTAATTAAATTTAAGCAGATTTTTCAGAACCCCAACGCATTTTATTTATAAGCTTATTTCAGATATTTGGCTGATTGTTTGTCCCTTGACACCTGTTTATATTTCAAGATAAGTATCAAGTGGCATTGCTCATCAGAAATCAGTGGCAATAAGCCAAACCAGGTAATTTCAAAAATGTTTTAAGTCTGTTTGTTTCCCTATAGAAACATTGAATGACAGCATATAAGAACCATTTGGCCCATCTAGTCTGCCAGATTTTCTAAATACTTTCATTAGTCCCTGGCCTTATCTTATAGCTAGAATAGCCTTATGTCTATCCCATGCTTAAAATCCATCACTGCCACTTCAGCTGGAAGGTTATTGAATGCACCCACTACCATCTCAGTAAAGTAATATTTCCTGATATAATTTTTAAACCTTTGCACCTCTAATTGAACATGGACATACAAGCAGCAGCCCTGAACTGAGCTAAAATACAGGTTTAGCAAATGAAATCCAAAGAGAAATGAGAGAAAAGAACAGGACGAGGGTGGAATCCTGTTAAATGTGATTAAAATGTTAATTCCAAATTTACACTGTAGGAACACAAAATAGTTCTTTACATCCAATATGTATTTTTATGGACTTTATGGGAGGGAGAGATATATCAATACATGGCGACAACTACATTTCTTGAAATAATGTAGGTGGTGTAAGTGTACATTGAACGCCAATGGCTACATTTTGAGCCCTGACATATGTGTCTGCATACCCACTATATAACTGACATTACATGCAGAGTACAAGTGTGATAGAATTTATCTTGATTCCAAGGCTCAAGCTTATAGGTGTCATATAATGATATCCTATATTAAAATTGGCTAACTTGGACTCAGAAAATGCTTGATGCTTAAACAACACTTAAGACCATATATGTCTAGTTCCGGGAGCAGAGAGCCCCCACCTGAGATGTCTCTTCTCTAATCTTTTTGTTCTTTCTTACCTTGGAACTTATTTGTTATCTGTACATGACGTTCATCCCTATGTCTTATCTGTACTCTCTTCCTATTACTGTTCTATGAGTATTTGCACATAATCACTTACTTTTTAATGTATAAAACCCAGCTGATGAATAAACGGCAGATGTTTATTTTGAATACCAACAGGTGTCTGGTGTCTAATTCCGGCTTCTCCAAGTGCACTTGAAATAATAATTTGGGCTTCCTCTGAATATAACAAAGATCAACACTTGGATCCTCAACACAAGTAAAAATAGGAGATCTGTACCACTCATAAAAGACATAATTCAGTATAAAAAGAAAATCAGGGCAAGATTTATAAAAGCTCCTAGACTTTCCTTATGTAATAATAGTTGAAGATGGCTACTTATTATTATTATTATTATTATTATTATTTTATTATTTATATAGCGCCAACAAATTACTTAACTAGGATAACAATTTGCCTTCCTCTTGTGACTTGAAGGAGAAATTGATATTAAACTTTCTCTGAGATTCCATTTACTCTCAACATTACTGTCAGTAAGTATTTGCAGCGTTTACGGCCCACCTGTTTTATGAACGTACAGACAAAACAGGTGTAAAGTATAGTGTATTTGTTAACCTACAATTGGCTCATCTCAGCATTGATCCTTCAATGTCTTTAGGATTCTTATTGTTATTCGAGGATAACGATGCACAAGTTCGTGAGACCTTTTCTCCAAGGATATTTTCCCTTTGCAAGTATTTAAATGTTATTATTTACTGCTTAAAAATGTGTAATTGTCATGAGAATCTGTGTTTGCTGCAATACTATGTAAAAATAATATTGTGTCGTTGCATGAGGCTGAAGGTTTGTAGCCAAGCTTTTTTCCCTTTGAGTATAATGACTTTAGAAAAGGATTCGATTCTCAAAAGGATTGAAACCCTATTCTTATATGAGGGTTTAAAAAGCACTTAAAATACTCAATTTACCACTTTTGTGTAATTTATAATGTTCCCACTTAGCAGTTTCTTAATCTATGTACAAGAAGAGTCTCCCTGGAGTATCTCTCTTTTAATTGTTACAATAATAATTCTTGCTTAGGTGCAATCACTATACATTTTATAAAATCACATCTACTAAATCAGTCGGTCCATTTCTTGAATTTTTATAAAAATGTAAATACAATACCCTTGTATTCTTTCCTACATGACTTCATATTAATTTTTACTTTATACGCTGCTGTTTAATTTATTGTCTTTTAGATTATGAATGTCATGCTATAAATTGTCATATTAAACATATAATATATAAATGTCAATGTCAAGCTTACAAGTGTGTAGTTTCAGGTCTAACTAGCCCTGTCTATGTATCAGTTTTATTGTTGTTCCTGATATTGGTTTATGTATTTTGTCATTAAATGAGTGTTATAGTTATAGTACAATCCATTACAAAGTATTTGCCATCAACACATGTACACAGAAAAAAAAGAAAATCATTTAAATTGCCTTTTCATAATTAGCCAATCTAAATGTTTCCATAGGATACATTGGCCTGTAATCTGTTACCCCACTCTGTACCATCTTTTTATACAATGGTAAAATGTAATTTTATAATTCGTATCTATGCAAAATAAAATCTAGTGAAATTAACTCTAGCAGAACTTTACTCCTAGCACAAATGTACTCCTTCTGTATTAGGCCGAAGGACTTTATCCTGTAATACTAAATAGGACAGTGGTCGTATTTTTTACAGTGAGCGACAGTAATGACGACATTTTGTAGGTCTTATTAGCAAGTGATTCCAAAATTCAAAACAGGAACAGCACACACTTTATAAAAGGACCACCACTATGGTGCCACATAAACCAGTGAGCCCACCAATCCCTTTAAAAAAATAAAATTTTGAAAAAAGATGTCCGGGCACACACATTATATATCCAATATGCAAATTTTATTAGAAAAGAATGGCAAATTTTCAGAACACACTAGAGCACTGGTCCCCAACCCAGTCATCATGGACCACCAACAGTTCAGGTTTTGTCAGTATCTCCATTTGAATAAAAAAGAGAATACATTAATCCTGAACTCTTAGTGAGCCATGAGGACTATGTTGGGGACCAATGCAACAGAAACTTTCTCAAACCTTGAGAACGGCTTTTGTGTGAGCCAAAAAATTACCAACACTCCAATTAAGACTTGATATTGGGTAAATACTGTGTGTGTGCCTGGGCATCTATTTTTTTTTACAATTTATTAGCAAGTGGTAACAGGAGCCTCCAATGTCCTGTGTAATACAGATGCTTGTTTTAGCCAAGTGACTGTATTTGTGAAGAGACAATGTATGAGAATATAAACAAGGCAAAAGAAAAAAAGAGAGAGTAACTAGTGTCATAAAAATTGAAAGGGTTAAAATGGGTACAGTAGAAGAGAATAACAAAGAAGAGCAATAGCAAAAAATAAAAGAGAAGATAATGAAAAACAAGTGACAGAAAATAAAAGAAGTGATGGTTAGAGTAAGAGAGAGATGGGAAAGGGAATCAGGTCAGGAATTTTTTGGGAAGATTTAGTAGAATAAGATGAGACAGAGAAAGAAGTGTCTAATATGCAAAGAGGTAGAAATAGATTAAAGGAGATT